ATACATGAAAGCTTAGGGGCATGTTTTCTACAAGAACATGGAAAACAATGCTGAAGCAAGTTTTGAAGAGGATCTCATCCATCACTGTAGGACTGCAGAAATCCCCTTCTTCTCTCAGGCTCTTTCTGAAAAAACTCTTATTAAGCAGGAATTATATCTGCAACCAGCATTGTAGATCAATCAGCGGGTGGTGATGGGAAAGTTCATAAGTTCATTAAATTCTGATTTGGATGGCAACTTAGGAAAAATACCATATTGCAATTTTTAACTTTATCTCAGTGTACACATAAATCTTACTTCCTACTGGTATTGTGATTGCCTTATTGTAACTAAAACAACCACACATCAAATTAAGTTTTCTATTTCACCTGTTAAACTCCTGAACTCATGAAGCTGCTCTCTCATTTCCTCCAGAGACAAACAGACATGAAACAGTAATTCATGTACTGCAGTAACTCTGCTGTATGTTTTTCATATGCTGCCTGCAGGCACAGTGAATAGGAATAAAAACTGAAACACAGCACCAAGAGATCTTGTTGTGTTCTCTGTATCTATGCTTTTAGCTCCCACTCTGATTATTTTTTACAGTTCCTACAGCTCTGGGAAGTGACAAGACACAGATACAGTGAACAGACCAGCCCACCTCCCTTCGGGGTCCTATTCCCAGGGTAAAAGAAGAATGGAAGAACCAGCATGCTGTTCCCTGAAGCAAAGATCAGTGGCCCATGGAAAAGTTCATACCAAAATAGCCTCATGTACATGTTATTAGGAAGTCTCATGAAAACAGTGGATGAAGATATATAATTTTATTAACTAACCTTTTGTGTTCTGTGAGTATATCCTATCCCTATTCTCTGTATAATTTTGTTTCTTACAGCAAAGGAGAGGAGCTTATTTCTCTAAGAGCAAAATGATACCACATACTGCATTGCCTTTCCCCCTGCTGTTAATCAGTGAGCACAAAAGAACTTTTTTCTATCTCCAAATTCCTGTTTGCAAATAAGGCAAATGTCCTATCACCTGCCACACCAACTGGACATCAAGAACTTAGAAAACAACAAGCTTTCTGCACATCCCCAGTACTAAACCTTATTATCCTCTCAAAATGGAAGTTTCCAAGGAAACAAGAAGAAAAGAGGATACAAGAAATGCAAATATAAAAGAGAAAAACAAAGCAAAAAGGCTGGTGTTTATGATTTTTCAAATTACATATACATGTACATTGTTATTAGGTTGCAATTATGATCCATGGGTTTAGTATTTAATTTATTTATTAACTGCAATAGTTACTTGAATTACCAAGATAAAGCCTCTATCATGATAATAACTGCGTCTTCACAAAGGAATTCCTATTCTAAGAAAAAACATATTATCTAAATAGACAACATAGACAATAAGAAACATCAATCTCATGTTGGTAGTACAAATAAAAATTGTTACAATCACAGAGGAAATCTGTATCAGAGTCAGGAGCGTAAAGAATGTGTGACAGCTGCACCCACTGCAGGATCCCTGCTTGAAAATGGCTCCCTCAGAATTTACAGTGTACCCATACTTTTACCTTTTTTTGTGATAGCATGGCATATTTTCAGCAGGTGTTTCTCATTTTGCACTTTCTGAAGAAAGTCACCAAGCTATCTTGACTAATTTTGTTTTTCTGGTGATCTTTAGTTAAGGCTTTGAAAGAGACCTATAGGTTTGAACATAATTTACAACATACGGGGCTGCGAGTTCAAAACAAACAAAAAATACCCCAAAGTCAAAACAGTAAAGACAGAAAATTGCATTTCCACGTAGTCTTTGCTTATTACTAGACGAGGACTGTTCATTCAGGTTTGAGAAGAAAACTGAACAAGATGATATTCTGTAGTCTCTTCAAACCTGAATTATCCTATAGCCTTATGACATTCCTGTTTTCAGGAATGTTTATAGAAGTCATTCATGACTTAATGTACATGAAAGGTCTTGTTACCATCTTCCCTCAGACTAAATGGAAAAGCAATGGCTTTGTTACCTGCGGATCACTCCCAATCGCTACTGTCAGCAATGATTTTAATCTGTTTGGTGGTATGCATATGTTGTTTTGCTTGGATGAAAGTCCATTATTCAGAAAAAAAAAGGCATGGACCTAAATCAAGAAAGTCTTAAAGTCTAAAACTCATAAAAGAAGAATGAGAATTCTTGGTTTGTACAGACTACTTTTCATGTATCTCTCTGAAATCACGACAATGAGAATTCTTTGACTTCTGTGCCTGCAGTCAAAAAAAAAACCCAAAAAAACCCAGTTTTATTAATGTAAAGGCTTTCTGCAATTACTTTCCAAACTACAGAACTTCTACGTAGTTTCCACTTCATACAAAAAAATTATTTAAGCTATTATTAGCAGCAGAACATATATTAGTGCAATTGTATATACTTTTACCTTGTCAGGAAATGTACAACTAAAACCAGCAAAAACTGTAGTTTATTGGTAGCTTGTTAACTACTTGCCATTAAAAGATCAATCAACAGCTTAGGTTTAAATATATTAACTAAGTAATTTCACCCTGGGAAGGAACTGTGTTGTAAAGTGACATGATCCCCAAGAGATGAAAAGGTAAAAAAGTTGAGTTGCTGAACTTCTCCATTTTCTCACTTCTCTTTGATGCAATTTAAACCAAAAAGTGCTTTCTATCTAAAGTGGTTAGTTAAACATCTGAAAGGTGTAAATGAGAAAGTTTCAGCCTAGAAAAACACCTAAGGTCAAGGCCAGAAATTCTGACCTCATCCCGTGAAACCTGCAGAGGGTTTTACTACTGGCTGCAATACAGGTTCTCAGTTCCCAAGGAATACATAAATGTTGATTTTTTTTTTTCATTTCTTTGTGTGGGCACCATACTGCAATGATTTATACCAAAAGCTCAGTGGTGGAAGAAGCCACATGACTACTTGGGGCTGTGCTGTGAGATGAATAGGGTGTCATAATATATTCAGCAAATATGGCAATCCTCCAAAACAGAGAAAGGTATGAAAAATTAGTTCCTTGGTTTAGAAACCATAGACTGAAGCCAAGAACACATAGAAAGAAAATGTATTGGCCTCTTCCCCACTACAACACAAATCACTGCTGTTCTATGTGTACAAACCATAACAGGTGTTATGCAAACACTGCAGTGTAATTTTTTGTTACTGTCTACGTTAAAATAATCTGCCTTTGTTGCATTTTTCTCTCACTTAAAAGGAAAAAATAGCACATTAAAGAATATCTGTGGAAACTCACTTTCCATACAAAAAAACTAGTTTATAAAGAGTTTCTAAGGGAATTTATTTTTCCATAAAAAAGGTTAAAACATGAAGAAGGAGGTAGCTGCAAAGGATGCTCACAAATTTCTAAGAACCTTAAAAATGTAAATAGCTGGAGCTGATTATTGCTTTAAAAAAATTTCAGTAAGTTATGCTGCTTAATTGTCCTTCTAAATCTAGGGAGAAGACCTGCAATTATGGTGTATATTTATTTTATTATAATATAAACATATACTAACAATCACAAATTGGTCCTGAAATAATAGTCTTATACATTTCAAGAAGAAGAATCTAACACTCTATTCTGTGTAAACTATGGGATTTCCAAGCACATTATCTCCAGCTCCATTAACAAATAAATTTGCCTTTTAAATACCTGCCCAAAGATACCCTTATATACAACTTTTCTGAGCCATATGCAAGCAGGAAGCTTGTATCCATCAGCAGAACCTAATCACAATACTTCTAGTTACGAACACAATTCAGGATCTATATATTAAGGCCCAAGAAAGAAGAAATCATTTTCCACAGTGCAGAGTCTCTGTGCTATGCTAAATTAAGCAAAATAACGGGAACAGAGACAAAGCATGCATTAGAAAAGTTAAAAAAAAAAAAAAAAACATGAAGGAGAAAGAGGGAATAACAAACATTACAGCGTCTATTAACTAACGGAATGTTTATGGAAATAGGACTAAAATGCACACGCATCCCAAATGAATCCTTATCTATAGCACCATAAGAAAATAAACTAAAATAAATTCATGAGGGGAAGCACCCTAAAGTATAACACTGTAAGTACACAGCCATGAAATTAATCTGAAATGCATTTGAATTGCTCTTGTAACAATAAACTCATTTCACAATCACGAAAATGTGTTATATGTTTCCACTTATAAATCAGTCTTCCCTAAGTACCATTAAGATTTATTTAACATCAAAATCTATCATACACAGTTAGAGCATACATAAAGTACCAGATGCATATTAAAAGGGTTTTTAAAATGGAATTCCTTATGTGCTGCTTTACTAATTCTGGAACAGCTAATACTTTTGTCTTTACCACTTACAAGTTACACTTGTTGAGAAGGCATATGCTAGAGAAAGTTGAGAAAGCAGTACTAGAACTGTTCTCTTCAAGTAAAGATACCCAGCAAAAGAAGAAACTTATAATGAATCTACTTGTAGGTAACAGCATATCATTTCTTACACAATTGCATTACTGACCATGACAGTCCCTACAATGTGTAAGGCATCAGATTACTCAGAAATACTCTGTGTTTAAGAAACTGTTTCAGAAATATCAGTGGGAAAATTCCAGCCCTCATTCAGCCAGTGCCCTTGCTGCTTGTAACATATGAAAACTGACAACCAGAAAAACAGGATAAAGTTCAAAGCAATTTTTCAATGTCCCTATTGATTAAACTTTAAAAGTTACCGTGTTTACCAAAAGCCTCCAGCTTTAAGGAGCAAGAGAGAAGAGAAGAAGAACACACAAACACACGGTGCAATAAAAATCATTTTGGTAGTAAGCAAACAGGCAATTTTTTAAAAGAAAATAATGTCTTCTGTATTTTCAGTTATTTACCTCTGTCAGCTTTAATGAAGGAGAACAAAGAAGTCTGTTCGATGAATGAACTAGTCTAACAGCAATACTTGTTAAATTGTTCGGATAAAGTGTTTTAACACCATATTTAATGGATATCCCATTCTCAGCCTACCTGGTGTGTTCAGTAGCCGGGACATCTTGCAAGAGTAGGAGATAAACTGCTCACAGTATTCAGCACTACTGGTAATGGCAGAAATCTGGTCCATTGTTGCACTGTAGTTGAGCTGCAGTACAGATAACTTCTCCAGGCTGTTGCCTCCCACAGAAGTCTGCATTTGCAGATCATGGTACACAGTTGTCCATACTTTGTCCTCTGAAAGAGAGGGGAAGAAAGACAAGACAAGAATTGGTGAAAGACAGACAGTGGAACTGAATTAAAATAAACCCAGGACTTCGGCAAAAGATAAAAATGTTCTGCAATATATTTTTTGAAGTGGTAGTAGAGAAGAAGGACATTGCATGTGAAAAATGATCATGTGAGAGCATAGTTCCATCAAGTAAGGACTGATGATGGGAAAAGACTCTGATCACCTTTATGAAAAGATAATGGATATACCATGTGAGGAGTCTTCCCTGAACAAGGAACTGATGCTAATCATTACATATGGAACTAGTAAGGATTAATTTTGATCAGAAGGACACAAGGCTGATGCCTTAAAGATTCAAGGTCTCTACGTGAAGCAAATTCACTGTCATGATAAATTCCTGTGGGCTGGAGAGCAACACTGCTTTGTAGAAAAGAAACAACAGGGATGCACCAGATTATTATGTGATTACATCATTTAACAATTAATACAGAAAATACTGCAGTTTATCAAGGTTTCTACATTTTTTTACCCAAGCTGTGTTCCTAGGGTAAGCCAAAATTACTGCTTATTGAGACAAATATTTCTAAATAGCAGCACCATATGACCTTATTGATTCTGTTAATGGTACAGATAGCAGCACAAGAAATAATGGAAGTAGAATGGAAATACAAAAGCTTCAGTTTAGTTGTGGAAAAACGCAAGGAAGGATGACCTAATTTAGTTGTTAAGAAATACAGCAGAACTGGCCAAATCTCCCCCATCCAGCAACCTTTTTTTGTAGGCTCATGCAAAAAAGGGTATATTATTCAGCCTAAATGGGGTCTGTATGCATTATATTGCTTTAAACTACTAAACAGCAAGTCACTGGAAGTGTTACTGTGTACCATTTGTCAATAGTTACCAGAGAAGATTTAAGATGAGATATCATAATAATGAAACAACACACTCCATACTCCTCTTGTAGAAAGATTTGTGGAAGTTGGAAGGTAGTTTAGAAAGGGAATAAAGAAAAGGCACAGAAACTTTCCTGTTATAGGTTAACCATTATTTTTTCTTAGACGAACATTCCACTGAACCAAAATGAAAAAAAATATTATCTGAGTAAGGCACAGGGTTTTGAAATGAAAACAATGAAGAGTCAGTCAATATTAGTGATATTGCCTTCCTGTAAGAATACTATTCTATCATTTAGGTGTGAAAAATTTTCAAATTTGACTATTACTGTAAAAATACACTATCTCAGCTGATATTTACTGCATATATTGTCCATCTCACATAGACAAGGAGTGAAATAGGTCAATTATCCTCTGTAAATAAACCCCAGAAAGTTCTCTTTTCTCTATAGATTATCCTGTAGCATATTACCATAAAACTTCCTAGAAGTGCATCAGGTTTTGTCAGTAATATTTGTCATGTGTAGTTCTTTCACATTTTAAATTGTTTTTCTGTTTCCCTTTTAAATTTTCTGCTTTATATCCTTCTACTACTGAGGGCCAAGTCAAAGAAATGTGTCTTGAAACAAGAAATATGAAAGCCTAAAAAAACACCTGTAAGAATCTATTCCGGTGCCTTGAACAAGCTTGCACAAAAGCCCAGTTTCTCAAAAGAGTCAGCCAGGCCTTTGCCCCAGTCAGTTCAGCTCTTCCTGTAGAGCAACACCACTGACTACAGTTGTCCTTCCAGGGATGCAGAGACAAAAACACACCATACTGCTAACTCTGTTGTATTTATCAGAAAAATACATTCTCCAGGGAGTTCACCTGCCAGCTTCAGAGAATACTAATTCACATGACAGATGTGCCTTACAGCAATAAAAGCCATAAAATGTAGCACATAACAGTATGTTTTCAATTCTTTTATGCCTGTTAATACAAATCTCTGAGTCATTTTAAAATCTGTGGCCTGATACCACACTTTAATATCTCAACTACATGCGAACACTTTGCCAAACTGAGACATACTCAAAAGCGCTTCAGTACTACTTCACCCAGTTCACAGAAATGTGCTGACATACCCTGATGAGTTTTGGTGCAACTCGGAGTAAAGTTAACTTTCCATGTTATGATTATTCTTATCTCCATGACTCCGTCTTATTTTCCAGTCTTAATTTTTACTGCGTAGCGTCAGACTATTTTGGATTATACAGAATCTTGTGGACCCATGTGTTTGCAACTGATATGGTGTAAGTCTTTCTAATCAAATGTTCAGAGATAAGGTAAGCAAAGCAGACGAATCCTCCACAGGGAGTATGCATCACTAGCCAAATGAGATGAAATTCAGCAGGTGAAGCAAGGTGGTTATTATTTTAATATTCATATCCTTAGTCCAAAGCTCTGTATAAAACTCAATAATATTCTTGCACTGAGAAAAAAAATATTTAAAAAAAAAAGCAGGGGGGAGGAAGAACAGGAATTCTTTTTTCTGTATTTCTTTAATCCCACTCCCAAGTATTGAGAAAAAAATTATAATTGTCACCTGTCAAGTTGCATGGAGAATACAACACAGTGTTGTTGAGAGCCTGGGATTCAAGTTTAGTGCAGATTCATTTCCAAGAAAGGCTTATACATTCACTGGCAGAAATGTCTCATTTTTGGCAGAAAACACTGTACATGTAAGAGCTCAAAAGTGTTAGTAAGGAATGTATTAGGACAGTTAGAGCCTCATACTGGATTTCTGAGCAAAGAGTCCTAGAGTAGCCATTAAGAGAGATTAGGAATGTCATTAGCAATAGGAATTGTGTTAGCTATTATATCTGAGAAGGACTTTCTTTATGGATAGTAGATTCTAGCCAATGCAGCCCTGACACTTCCCCTCCCACTTAGGGAATTTCCAGATTTATTGTGGCACACTGTACTAAAGAAGACAGAAACATGTTCTTGTCAGTCAAATGCATCCTCTAAACAATTTCAGGATCCTTCTGTCAAAGTACAAGTACTACTAGTGGGTAAGATCTCGTTGCACCTTGTAATGTATCTATTCATCAAGATGCATATATGTGCATGAAGTCAATAACCATTTCTAGAAAAGAAACTAAGTCTCCTCCTGCTATCTTAAAGATGATGGGAGATTGCTTAGGATCCAGATACTGGAAATAAATGTAGTTCTCAATTCACTTGCAACTAATTTTTTGATAGTCTGGCTCAAATGACAGGTGAACATGTTCAGCAAACTGGCTTGTCTAAACTCTAGAAGCCGAATGACCTGTGCCTGAAGGTCAGGCACAGAGAGAGTGTGGAGGAAAAGCTGCAACCTGTGTACAGGAAGGAAGTTATTTCTTTGGATTGAGGATTTTACACTCCACACATTTTCCTTATTTGACTCATGGACCAAACCTGTATGGAATGACCGGCCCTTTCCTTGACTGGAAAAACACACTGACAGTGTAATATGGTCACAGCCAAAAATCCATCTCCTCTCCCCATCAAAAGAAGACTTCTGCATTTCATACAGTTATATATCTGGGATTGGCGTTAAGATGTCTGGAAAGGTTTAAAGGAGAAAGTTGCCAGAAAAATACCTTATCTATTGAGTGCTGGTTACAAACTGCTTTTTCCCTTTTAATCTTAATAATTTTTTAACATGCTAATACTTTCCATGGAAACCAGCTAGACACTTAGAGCATGAATATAAGGCCATCATGTCCACCTATGGTTCCAGTTTTTCTGAATCTACTTATTAGCTGAGACCATTCTCTAGAAAGACTGAATTAGTAACCTGCTTGCAGCCAACTTCCCTGACAAAAAAGGTAATGCAGATAGTTCACACTATCTCAAAGACCTGTATCATCACAATTTATGGCATTATTCCCATGTAGCTGAGAACAGGATGCAGTAGTCATGGTTAATGTGTCAAAATCTGCAAGAAAAGCTACCCTTTATTTCCATCAACAGTACACAGAAATCTCATTTAAGGTACAGGGAAGTGAAAAATCTGTCCTAGTTAACTGTAATTTGATATATATTCCTGGCAATTACAGTCACCACAACACTGGAATGAGTATTCCCCTAATACACTAGCAGATATTTTAAGAATACATGACATATGGCTATTGCTAACCACAAGTGTTTAGAGACAATTTGTTGGTCACAGCTGTGTATATGACTTCTGCACAGCCAAACACACCTATAAAGAGCAGATTTCACTTAACAATTATAATGCTGTTAAGCAGCATTTTCTATAAAATATTTTATGTGCTTATGACCTAAGTTATTAAAATTAAAAATAATAATAAAAAGAATTAATGTTGAGTAGCTAGTAGTAATTTAAGGTTAATGATACTATTCTCATAACGTTTCTTTTTTGCAGACATATTAGCAGGAATATAAAAGTTAATGTTTAAAGGAAATCAAAGTATGCTTTAAATTAAAAAAATGCAATAATATTACAAAAAAGGGTGAAAAAGAAAATTAAGGTAAAGGATAGTGAAAAAAAGAGGGTTTTTGCAATATTGCATGCCATTTCCTGGGGGTTCTGACGGTGAACTTCTGCACCTTAGCCCACTATGGAGTGTTTTATTTGAGGTTGGTCAAAATATCCTAGAGTCCAATAAATAGTCCAGTCAGCCAATGTAAGTGTTGGGATTGACCTTGAATACAAAACTCTTATAGAGCCATAGAAGTTTGGGAAATGATATGTGAGTAGAGTAAAAAAAGTACGTAGTAGAAAATTTGATGTTTATGTACAATGCACACTTATGGTCAATCACATATCATTAGACCATACAACCCAAGAGACTTCTCAGTTCTGGTGTCGTGTAAGGAGCTAGGCTGGATAGAGAGTAACCACAGATTCTTGGTGGAATTCATAATGGTTTTCACTAAGAACAATCTAATTAGATTCAATCTGCTAATACATTTGACACAGTTATAAAGAAAACAGGTTCCCTTAAATTTAGTCTGCACATTACTCTTCGCTGAAGCAATTCCTCTCCCAACAGATAGACATTATAGTAAGATTAATTTGATTAGGATTTTTTTTTTAAAAAAGGTAAATGACCACCTGTTTC